CCTTGCTGTGACACATGGGTACTGCTACATTTAAGTTCTAACTTTAAAGCTACCCCCCAAATAGCTCTCCTCTCATCTTCCCCATCTCTGTTAGCAGCCCAGCTTAGTTCCAGGTCCTCAGTATTTCTCCTGAGTTGCCACAACCCTCTAACTTACTTTTCTAACTTTAAGGTCATCTCCTCAGAGCCACCTCACTGGCGCCATAGTTACTTTTCTAAAAATAAACCTGCACAGGTTACTCCCCTGCTTAAAATTCTTCCGTGGCTTCCCATTACCTTTAGGAGTTCCGTTGCTATGGCATGACCTGCCATGCCTGTCAGAAGAGATCCCTCTCTATCTCTTACATCTTTGCTCATTCCATGAAAGAACACATTTTTTCGCAATTCCAAACTAGATTCGCCATTTCACTGTTCCCTCAGCCCCAAACATGGTCCTCCTTGACATCTTTACCCTCTTTCCTCAAAGATGCAATTCCTCTTGGGAGTCTCCCTAACCTCACTTGCACCAGCTGGGTTTGGTTCTTACTGAGGCTTTGTGAGCTCTCTTAGAGCACTTATTATTCTGTGATAGTATTTTTCTCTCTCCTCTATCAGATCCTCAATCTTGGAGATTCCTGAAAGCAAGGGTTCTTTTTCCCATCTAAAGCCTCAGACTAGCACAGTGCCTGGTATATAATATTCTCAATAAATGTTGAATAAATAGCTCAAATTAACCATAATAAAAATAGAAGGGGATAAAGATTCAGAGAGGAAAATGGTATTATCTTTGCAAGATCATGTCATAAAAAGAGATTCTTCCTGGGACACAATGCAGTAAATGAGGCCAGTAACTGCCAGTTGATTATAATTTTAGCAACTATTTCCCAGAAGAGTGACCAGTTGTTGTTACCTAATCTGAGGCCTCTTACATAAAAGACATCCATTTCCTATTTAACTTAATTATACCGATTTTATTATTTTAACTCCTATTGGCACCAAATTCTAGAAAAGTTACCATAGGGTTTGTCCTCAGATGAAGCTGGCTTAAAAAAAAAAAAAAAAAAAAAAAAGTAGAAATCAAACCCTGCACTCCTTCCTGTTCAGCTTGAGAATATTGGTAAAGAACGTTCATTGTCTTCATAACATAAAACATGAATTTAGCCTGGAAACCAAGACTCTGATATTCAAGTATGGTGCACTGTCAAGTAAGAAAAGAAGCACTTGCACACATCTTACTGAATGCATAAAAATGAATGAGAGCGTGAATGGTCAAGAGAACCCAATGTTCCTTTGCTTACACAAAGCTCCTTACGAGCAGACCGTCTTTCTGAGGCACCTGCTCCCTGTGAAAAAACTGACAACTCCTCTTATGCATTCTGGCAGCAGGTGCCTAGAATGTCACCTTGATTCCAAACGTGCCATTCAGAAGATCTGAACTGTACCTGGTCACTGAGCCTTCACTGAGCAAGGCTCAGATATGTGTGACACAACCTTAGAAAACATGATCAGTGACTACGAGTTTAAATTCTCAAGTTAGTCGGGTCTGGGCTTGCATCCTTTGGCTCTGCTACATACTGTATGACCGAGAGCCTCTCCCCCTCCCTCACATGGGCTCTCACTTCAATCATCTGCAAAATGGAGACAAATGCTGAAAACGGAATGGAAATATACTAGAATTTAACATAGTGCCTGGCATACACTGAGTGCTCCCTAAGGGACAATGATTACATTATTGACAAACCAGCTCCTGGGTCTGGAAGCTTTAAAAAAATAAAAATAAAAATAAAGTACCTCAAATGTTAATATCTACAGAAGCAGGATCTTGGGATCATGGGAATTATTCAGCTACAGCAGCATATTCAGAAAAATAGGCTTCTATCAAAGACCATCATTTATATCACCTGAGGATTCAATCCTATGCAGAATCTTCTCGAAGTTCTTCCATAGAGTATAAATTGTATACTGTTTCTCAAAAAAAAAAAAAAATCACCATTTTGCAGCTAGGGGGGTCAAACAGGTTACGGAGATGGTGCTCCCTCCCCTCTCACCTCCAGAAGTAGTTGCTCCCGCTTACTGGCTTACTGGAGGAGGCAGTGGGAGGCCATGGGGAAGCGTGTACAGCCACTGCCTGAGCCACATTTCCTCTGTGAAGAAACAGAAGACTTCAGTTCCTGGGATTGGCCAAGCTCTAGAACAGAGAACTAAGGGACTTCTTTGCATTTCCCTAGGAACCTCATCTCTGTGCAGAGTGCCATGGAAGCAACTGCTACACATCTGCCTAACCATCTGTCAGGAAACTGGAATGATAATAAACACAGGTAGCTTGCGATACATAATAAATTGAAAGCAATTGGCACAGAGCAGAGAAAGACTCAAAGACCAAGGGAATGAGAAGAGAAACCAATGACAGAATGAATTATGCACAATGACCAAACCAACCAGGACATGTGCAAAGATTTCTAGGTTTAGGATCAGAATTCACTTGAGGTCAATATGGTCTCCTCAGGGGGCTGGTCATGGATTCGTTCAACAACTATTTTTACTGAGCACTCACTATATGTTAAGGAGTGCTCTAAACATGAGAGATTAAAACAAACACAAACAGACTCATCCTTACTGCCCAGGAACTAGAAGCTTATTAGGGAGACAGACAAGTAAAATTATAGCCTGGTAGACTCTTAGCTGACTCCACGGAACAGCTTGCTGATTAACTGATATATGCACCTCCCTGAGGCCCAGAGCACTCTGACTTTTAAACTACTCCCCAGCAGTCCTCTAGATTAAGTAGAATGTTTGTTAAGAATTGGTGATTTTTGTTCTCGAACCTATCTATGACATTTGTACTTGCTCTCATTGTGTAAATATTTGAATTACATATTATATAATATTTAATACTTCTGTTATATTTAAATATGACCCTTTATGAAAACAAAGTTATTATTCCTATGGACACTACAATGAATCCTCTCCAAAGAATCAGTAAAAGCAAGCTGCTAAAAAACAGAATTACCGAACTAGGAATGGATGAGAGAACTATGATTGGTGGTTTTGAAACCACAAATTAGAACTGTCTTCTTCTGGGGAAAAAAGTTCAAAGAAAAAGGATAACACTGACAATGATTCTAGATAACTGACAGTGGTAAGTCTAACTCTGCAGGATTCCACGTCCCCAACAGCAGGAGTAAAGAAGAAATTGTTGGAGCAAGATTATCCCACTGCAGGTCCTATCCATCACCGAGTCCAGTGGGAGCCCAGAACTCTGTGTGTGTCTGGCAACACGACCCCCATCCCTGCTTCTCACAACCCATAGCTGCCTTAGAACCATCAGGACTAATTTTAACTACTCAGCACTAGAAACCCAGGACTCTGAGTCCATCCCTTATTTTTCTGCCTACCACAGTAGATTCCTGACACATGCAGCCCATTCAATAGTACTGGAGACAAGAGAACTCTTGCTGATCTCTGGAACCTTCCCTTCTCCAACATTCTCTGAGTTCTAGTCTCTGCCTTCCTTGAATTCTCAACTCTGACTTCTCCACTTGGAGAGACCCAGGGCTCCATTTCAGTTGCCACTCCATCTACTATGACCTGAGCAGTAAGCTGTGCGACCCCAGAACACACCTTCTGTCAAGAGTTGCCTTCTCCCCTGATGTCTAAAGTCTGGAAATAGTTGCTTCAGTATATCTGGTACAGTTTGAGTTGTTTGAAGAGAGTCAATTTGAGCACTGGTACTCCATGTGGACAGAAACAGAAGTCACTTTTTAATGTTCTTATTTTCCATCCTCAGTCCCTTTCTTCCAGTCATTCCCTGGAACTTGTCATTCACAATTTCTACAAACTCATCATCATCTCAATTCCAAACATCTGCCTCCTCCACCTCCTGTCATTCCTGCTGGTGTTCCAACTCCAGCGGTCCTTCGCCTCACTCTCAGTCCTCCTTCCTACCAACCCAGTGTCCATTTCCTCTCCCGAGCTAGCCTCATTTATTCCACTGTCCAATCATTTTAACCAGATCCTCGAATCATTCCCCCCTCACCTCAGACCATTTGGTTGGTTGAACCATAACATGGGTTAAATCCAACTCACTACCCTAAAAAAGAATACATATTTCATATTTTTATTTTATTTATTATTTTATATTCCGCTAGAAAGCAAGCTCCATGAGGGCAGGTTTCTCATCCACTTTGTTTACCCTTTTATTTCCAAAGCTTAAAAACAGCTCACAACACATGGAAGATATTCATGAAATATTTGTTGAGTGATACTCAAACCCGATGCTCAAATGCAAATTCAGATGAAAATATCAGCAGTAAAAATTCACCATAACCACAACAAAAAACTGCTTCTTGAATAAAAGAGATCATTTTAAAAACAGAAGGGGACAGAACATACACAATCATTCTGATTCTTACCCTCTTTATTGCTGATTAAAAGTTATACATAAGGCTGGAGTCATAGCCCAATGGTAGAGCACTTGCCTAGCATGTGTAAGGCACTGGGTTTGATTCTCAGCACTACACATAAAGAAATAAAGGTCCATTGACAACTAAAAGAATATATATGTATGTATTAAAAAATAAAGTGGATTTAAAAAAAATAAGATATACATGATCTGACAGAATGGCTTCAGTGGGCTCCCAACACAATCCTGGAGATTCCCAAGACAGGTGAACAAAAACATCCAACTAACAGAGAAGCATGAGACAAACCTCGGCTGGTGTGGAGAGGCCCAGGCTAGCGGGCAGGTGCCAGGGGGTAGAGATGGCAGGGTTCACGGAGGAGGTCTCTTTCCTTTGCTGTGCTGCTCATGGTTTTTGTTTTGTTTTGTTTTGGTTTGGGCCCCCTCAGTGCTCACTTGCCCAAGTGGCTCTGGCAGCAGTATGAGGTGGCAATAGCCAGGTGAGCAGGCTGGGGCACAGTTACAGGCTGACAAAGCCCTCGTCTGTCCCTCCCTCCCTGCCCACCGCAGTCACAGCGGCGGGAAGACAACACTCCAGAAAGCTCTTGGAGGCACAAGCCAGGGCCTAGGCAGGCTCAAGAGTGCAGGGATGTATCCACTCAGGATGGCTCACGTCCTGCGGAAAAGGAGCTCAGAAAAATACACGAACTTACATCAGGGGCCCAAGTGCTAAGGAGAAACACAACCAAACCACCCCATCAGCCTGAACCAAGTTACTGGGTCCATATGGAAAAGAATAAAGTAAATATCCTCAAAGAGATAAGGGATCATAACTGGAAACAGGAAGCAGAAACAACAAGTTTTCAATAAGAGTCAACCAGCGATAATGGTATAAAAATCATAAGAGCTGAAATAATCAATGGATGGACTGACAGCTGCAGATCAGGTTGAAGAACTCTCCTCAAAGACACAGGAAGGAAAAAATGGAAAATATGAAGAAACATTAAGAGATAGGAGGACCAGGGCTGGGGTGGAGCTTAGTGGTAGGACATGAGGCCCCAAAGCCTGGGTTCAAGGTCCAGCACAAAGAGAGGTGGAGAAGGACTCAAGAGGAAGTGTCAGCAGATCAATAGAGGGGAGGTGCTGAGAATCCACAGGAAGAGGAAATTTGGAAGAAATAACCTAGGCTTCCCGGATTTAAAAAGACCTTAGATTATAAAGGACTCGGGGAAAGTAAACAAGGTAGAAAAGAAAAGAAACTTTTCAACAATCACAAATAATGAAAGGAAAGGAAAACAAGAAGGAAAATTCCAGCCAGGTCCAGTGGCGAATCCCCATGATCCAGCAAGAGGCTGAGGTAAGGGGATCCCAGATTCGAAGCCAGCCTCAGCCACTGAATGAGGCCCTGGGTAACTTAGTGAGACCCTGTCTCAAAATAAAAATTAACAGGGCTGGGGAAGCAGCTCAGTGGGAAAGCACCCTGGGCAGCACTGGTTCTATGAGAGCACTGGAATGGTATCTTCAAAGGTATAAAGGAAAGACCTTCAAACTTGAAATTTATACACAGGTAGATTATTCAAATACAAGGGTGAAATAAAGATATTTTAGGCATATAAGGCCTCAGAGGTCCTATCACACAGTCTTTCTTGAAGTATTCTAGCCAGAAAAAATACATATTGTAGAAAATACTATAAAAATGGGAAGAGGAAGTAAATAACTTCAGTTTACTACTAACTAAATAAGACATACAAGAAAGTAAATCTATAACAATCCAGAATTATGAACTTCTTTAGAAAAGAAGTACTTTTTTTGAGAAGGTAGAAGACAGAAATAAAAACACCCAAGATATTCATCATTTTAGAAAGAGGGGGGGAATGCATACATTTAGAGGTTAAAAAAAATCAATAGGAAAAACAAACATCAGTATAGATATCCAACTAATGATTAAAGACAACTACCAGAAGAATGAAAACAGACATGTACGTGACTTTCAGAAGCTGGGTGTGGTGGTGCATACTTCTATTACCACACTTAAAAAATGAGATATCTCCATCTTTAAAAACAGAAAATTCCAGATCCCTTGCCTCCTTCCTATTATAGTTCATTTTCTCTGTTTCTCCTTACAGCAAAATCCTTAAAAGTGCGGGATGGGGTGTAGCTCCTGGGAGAGCACCTGCCCAGCATGAGTAGGGGTTCAGTCTCCAGCACCGCAAAAAACAGAGGATGTGGGAGCCTTGAAATAGCTGTCTCTGTTCATCATCTCTCTCCTCCTCTTGCATGTCTCCTCACTATGCTCCGAATCAGTCTTGCCCAATGACACCACCCTCTTGAAGACCTCCAGTGACCTCTCACTTTGCTAAATCCAACCATTACTTCTTAGCCCTCACCTTATTCAATCTTTTGATTCCTTTCTTGAAACAATGTTCACTTTGCTTCCATCAAACTTCCCTGCTTTTTCTCCTTAATGGCTATTCAGTCCCGATCCTCTCTGCCAAGTCCTCTCAGTCCCTGAACCTCTAGAAACCATCCTCGGTTCCCTCCTCCATCTACCTTCACTTGAGCAATGACCTCAGTTGGTCTGGAAGTTTTAAGTGTCTTCTATCTGCTCATG